CATCCAGTTGCAACTATTAAAAGCCATGCAATAGTACAGTTGGTTAAATCAGTGAAATTCCATTAATGGAGATAACAAGGAATGCAAAGTGGTGGTTGGGTATCCATACTGATGTCTTAGTGAGAATCTAAATTTATTTAACCTGAAGTACCCCATCTTTTACGTGAAATTGAGATTTGTCTTTCTGAACTGCATGCTCAAGGATAAAAAAAAATTGTTTCTGTAATTTAACCTGTATTACAATCATGTGGTTTGAAAATACACAACATTTGTATAACTACACATTATTTTTATTTTATCAAGTTTTTTTAAAAATATATCTATATATCATATATAAAAATACCGTATATCATGATACAAATATACTTTTATGTTATTAGTAGAAAATGTTTAATCTACTTCTTAACATTTAGTCTTGATAGTATAACTTGTAATTTAATTGTAGTCGTCATTGATATTTGTGTCATTGAAACAAAATCAAAATTTTAATGGTGGATCCAAAAATGTACTGCCACTTTTTTCATCTTCATCACTCGTGCAGATAATCTGTTGGATTTTACTTTCAGATATACCCCTGGATGGTGACAGTGCCTAGAAAAGTGTTGACACACACCAAAGGTAATTCATTCCTACTCTGTTTGGAAATTGAATTATCATGAAATTTATCTATGTTATTGTCTCAAACAAAATAATAAGTGTCATACTATTTTCCACAGTTATTCTAACCCAATATTTATTATACATTTTTATATCAATTCTGTAAATTCATTGATTATTACCATGGAAACCCATGTTTTGAACGGTTTAGTGAATTGGACTGACAAATGTCAGAACTTCAGCTTTGAAACGCATTTCTGGACTTTTTGGTGCTATTATAAAAATTAGTTTTAACTGTAGCAAAGTTTGTTGCAATTAAATGAATGCTGTGAAATGTTTACATGTAAAGCCAGTAATTTTTTTCATTAGCTGTATTCTGAAATAATCTTAAAACTGTTATTAATTTGTGTAAATTGTCTAATTAGCCTCTGACCCCAGTGTATATTGTTATGTCTTATTTCTGTAGCTTGTTGATAATAAATAAATCATTTTGAATAAAATATACATTGTTCAGCTGTACAAGTATTATAAAATTAATACATCATGGACATACCAGGTTTCAGCTTTCTGTTGAATTACTGAAAGAATAGATATTCTGTCAGAATCGTATAAATAGCAATTCGAATGTAATTGGTTCACCGTTGGACCATGGAGCACTCGGGCTCCGCCATAAGTTGAAAGAAGGGACAGGATGGGCAGTAACCATGTTTGGTAAGTATGTACATGTTGTATTATAAACTACCGGTACTACTCAGTTGTAAAATTATTGCAACAATAGACTTGAATCAATGTGATAGAATATCTTCATACAAGAAATGTACTAGCCAAGTAAATAAGCAATACCGGGTAGGTCAATTTTAATTCAAGTTTAACCTCTACTGATTGCAAGCAGTGGTAATCCCCAAATCGTAATTATCTCTTTTTTTTATTGGTCATAAGACTGCTGAACCTACCTAATGTGGACTATACTTTTTCCTGGGGAACCCAGTGAATAAGAAACAGTAGACTAACTATAATGTACAAGGCCAGACTTTTATTAGCTCCGCTGTCGACTTTGTCGAGCGGAGCTTATCATATGAGTGATTGTCCGTCGTCCGTGTCAATGTTTTACATTTTCAACTTCTTCTTGAAAACTACAAGTCTGAATGCTTTGACACTTGGTTTATATGTACCTTGGGTAGACCTCTCTCAGATTTGTTCATTTCATGATCATATCTTCAATTCTCTAATTTTGGTGAATATTTTTGTCATTTTTGGTAAAAAGTGATATTTTCGACTTCTTGTTAAAAACCGCAAGTCCAATTGCTTTGATACTACATACCGTATATAGATACTACATGTGGACCTCTCTCAGATTTGTTCATTTCGTGATAATATCTTCAATTCTTTAATTTTGGTGAATATTTTTGTCATTTTTGGTAAAAAGTGATATTTTTGACTTGTAAAAAACCAATAGTCCGATTGCTTTGATATTACATATATAGGTACTACATGTGGACCTCTCTCAGATTTGTTCATTTTGTGATGATATCTTCAATTCTCTAAGTTTGGTGAATATTTTTGTAATTTTTGGTAAAAAGTGATATTTTTGACTTCTTGTTAAAAACCAAAAGTTCAATTGCTTTGATATTACATATATAGGTACTACATGTGGACCACTCTCAAATTTGTTCATTTCATAATGATATCTTTAATTTTCTAATTTTGGTGAATATTTGTGTCATTTTTGGTAAAAAGTGATATTTTCGACTTCTTGTTAAAAACCACAATCATTTATGGTGAAAAATTATATTTTTGAATTCTTGTTGAAAACAGCAAGTCCCATTGCATTGATACTATGCATATTGTTCATTTTCTAATGATATCTTCTGTTCTTTAATTGAAATGTGCATTGCTAACAGCGGAGCTATCTCAGCCGAGAGGCTGCTTGTTATCCCTTTAAATAAAATGTTATTTCAGCGTAATTTCTTGCGCCCACCGACTTGTAAGTGCAAAAAATTGCTAACAAAATGTTATTTTTATCTTCATTTTTTTTCCACCCGCCACATTACAAATCCAAGTTTCATTTTCGTGGGAATATCGTGATCAAAGTACTGAAGTCTCTCTAAGACATCCTCAGTATAGCTCGACCAAATTTTCCCAAATAAGTCTTCCTCAAGAAGAAGCTTGCAATACAAAGTGATGCAAGTCTTGGAGAGTATAGCGACAATATGATACAGCCACAACCTTTACAATTAACTCGCTGATACATTATTGAGATGACCATCCTTATAGGCAGGTCAACAGATGACTTTGGTCTGTGCCTAACGATAAGGTTAAAATATTACATGCACTGTGTCTTGCCTGTCTGGTATGAAAAGCGATCGTTGAGGGAGCTGCTAGATAAGCACAGTTTAGTAGTTTCCCCAGAGTTAAGTCTGCAGCAGCAAGACTAAAGGTGTGGAACAAAAAGACTTATGATCCTTGCTGAATAAATGTTAACTGCTATAACTCATTTCTGGAACAAGGAAGGTTGCTCCAATATTCAAAATTTAATAGTAAGTACATGTAGTAGGAGTATCATCAGAGTATCATTTCGTGGAAAAGACTAAGCTGCCAGCAACAGGTTTCAGTTATTTCTTGTTATGAAACTACCCAAGTTACCCATTTTTGAAACAAACAAGAAAATAAACACATGCAACACTGGAATGTCTTAAGCAAGTTACTGTTCTATCTTGAGAGGCAGAACAAGGTATCTCATTGTGATTAATGTAGGGTGAAGTTCTAGTAGTTGCTGGTTCTGCTAGGCAAACATGGTTTTCTTATGTGCACCTGTAAATAGTTTTCTATTTTGTTTTACCAAATACAAGATTGGCTAAATAAAACATACCGAATGTCAAATATTGCCTAGCCACATTAGGAGACTAACACAGAGGAAGTTCTATACCCAGTGTCCTGAATTTTGTGAGCTTTTGTGAACACAGTTGCCTGGTCATAATTTCATAATTTGGTTAATGTGATTGCCCCCAGGTCGAGGCAACTACTCCAAAAGTTCTCCAGATCTTGTCTGTTTTAATTCGACTCTATTTTTGTTTTGGCGGGGTGAATTTTTTCGTTTTTTCATAAACTCATTTCTTGTCTTTTCTTGGATTGCATCATGCCTAAGTCATTAAAAAAGACTAAGAACATGCCGACTATACATACATATGTGTTGTCACTCTTGCCTTGGTTGTGAACGGGAGTTTGTGATCTGTAGGATTCTCAATTGTCGGTGAACTTTGAGGCAGTGTTGAAAGCTGAGGGCAAGCGATCGCGTAAAGCTGGTAAGCATCGCTCTAAAATAGGGAAGTCCCCAACCACAGTCAACTATGTGTCTGATTCAATGAGTGAAAAATCTCTCTCTCCCCTTGTTAGCCGAGATTAGGCTTGCCTCCTATCGCAAACTGAGGGAGACCGATAGTTGCCACGATCTGTCTCCCTGCTCAATGTGGAGGGGTCGACAATTGAAGTAAGACTTTTTATTTTTTTTTTGTATTTTAATATATTTTTATTGGGTACTCGTAAAAATTTACATATCTGTGAATAAAAGTTATGCTTACATTCCTGTATAACTCAAAGTTTTTCAAAGTGACATTTCTCAA